AAAATTAATTCATGATTTATATTTTCAATCGTTTTTTCAGGTAAATACTGATATCCATGATACCGCAAATGTACACATTTATTGGTATTTCAAAACTCAAAAAAAACAGCAATGATATATTTCATTCAATAAATATTAAATCTAAACACATATACGCAGGCACACATACACAACACAACACACACACACACACACACACACATATATATATATATCTATATATATAATATATAATATATATATAGATGTTTAATACATAAATTTATATATAAACGTGCAAAAGGTATGAATGAGACTGTATTCAATACAAGAGATTATTTGACCGGTTTCGATTACGTTTCGTCAAAATACATTAATACATGTATTCTGACGAAGACGTAATCGATGTCAATACATTTCGTATTGTGAAGATATCCAGTCTCATTCATACCTTTTCTGCATTTGTCAACATGGATACGGTTCATTATACGTACATTTATATAGACACACACATGCACACATATATGTGTGTGTGTGTTTGTGTGTGTTGCGTGCATAAGACAATGCTATCAGTGTTAAAATGTTTTATTTTTATTATATATATTATATACATATTATATATTATATATATATATATATATAATATATATTATATATATTATATATATTATTGTGTGTGTGTGTGTGTATTACAATTTTGTTCAAGAAGCTGTTGTGTGTGATGATATATTCTTTAATTCTCGTTGGCTTATTCATGTTCGCTGGTGCTTCAAATACACAGTAACCTGTTTATATCATCACAGAAAATGGGTAGACTTAAAGGAAAACGGGGAAGCCCACTGTTAAGAACCTTCAATGATGCTTGCCATGTTTTAAGCTTCACTTTTTTTTCATCAAGTTTAATCTTATTTCGCTTACGGCATATATTTCATTTGTAATTTTAGATTTGCATTTCACTTTCTATCTCTACATACACACACACACACACACACACACACACATACACACACACATATAAATGAAAACTATGCTATTAGTAATATTTCAAATATTCTGTTTTCCGTAAATTATATTATCATATTATTATTATTATTATTATTATTATTATTATTATATCATTATCATTACTATCATATATATTATTATTTATTACTATTTTATTATTATTATTATTATTATTATTTATTATTTATTATTTATTTATTTATTTAATTTATTTTGTTCGATAAACAGAACTCAGGCTCCTCGTTGCTTTACTTACTCATGTGGACTAACACACATTATGTTATGACAGAAAATGGATAAAATTATGAGAAAGCGGGAAGCCCTGTATTGAGAACCTTCGAAGATAGTTTTCCATGTTTTAAGCTCCACTTTTAATTCTAGTTTCCATTTATTGGTCATAGGCATGCTAGTCAGATTTTTAAATTTAGGTTTAGTATCCCAGTTAGAAAAAAAAATAACTGTAAACTAGGAAAGACAAGATTTTTTCCCCAGGTCAAGTCAAAATCGTAATTTTTACCATGATGGTCAAATTTTAAATGAAGAAAATTATATTTGCGAAGACACAGCAAAGAGAATGTTGGTCGGTAGATAGATAGAGATGCATTTAAAGTTAGATAGAAATAGATAGAATAGAGATAGACAGACTGATAGAGAGAGAACGCAAGGGAAAGAAAATGAGAGAGAAAACAAGGTTCTCAATAGAGGGCTTCCCCATTTTCCTTTAAATTCTACCCATTTTCTATGATGATATAAACAGGTTCCTGTGTGCCAGTAAACATGAATAAGTAAAACAGCGAGAATAAATACTATACAAGGATCCGGCACTGTTTATCGATCAAAATCTTAATATACAGACAACTAACAAAATACTTAAAGTATTTACTGATAGCATGGGGATATATATATATATATATATATATATATATATATATATATATATATATATATATATAATATATATATATATATATATAATAATATATAATATTAATATATATATATATATATATTAGATTAATATTATATTATATATATATATAAATACATTTATATATATATATATATACAATATAATAATTTATTAAATTATAATATAGTATATACTATTATATATATGATAATATAGATGATATCTTATATGTAAATATTAATATATTAATACATATGTATATATAATTATATGTATAACATATTTAATTACATATATATATCATAATAATATAAATATCAATTATATATAATATAAATATATAAGTATATCATATATTAATATAATCTCATATATATGTATATATATATATGTATGATAAATAGTATAGATGTATAGTATATATATATTCCATTAATCTATTATGTATAAATGATTAACTCATATTATATAATACTATATTTATAATAATATATATGATGATATATAATATGTAATATATAATATATATAATATATTATATGTAAAAATATATATAGCCTTCATGATGTATATATATAAAATAGTAGTGTTATAATATAAATATATATATATGTATGTGTATACTGTATTGTATTATTAGTAATAATATATATATAATCATTCATGCTATCATATGTTGCATATACTTATATTTATAAATATATAATTATAATATAATGTTGTATATAATAGTATATATTATATCATATTTTATCCCTTATATTATATATATAATATATATAATATATGTAATATATATGATATATATATATATATATATGTATATATATATATATTTGCATTAACAAATATTTGCATTGTTATAGTCTCTATGAAAATTGATTGCAATAATATGTTAAACTGCAAATTTCAAGTGTGGCACTTCATAGATTTGGCATTTCTGTGTCAAAATGTAACAGATAGACAAATTGACAAGTTCATCATTCATAGGGTGATGCAATAGATACTTAGGTTAAATAGGCCGTTATTTTCTTTATGAGTAGAGATCGTCGAGGTGGAGGAACGGATAACGTGCTGGTCTAGTGTTTCGTAGGCCCACGTTCGATCCTGTTCCAAGCCAAGTGTGGAATCACACGCAGGCCACTTTTTGTTTGATTTTTTCTTTGTCGTTATAATTGCATTTATTTTTTGCTGACATAAATTATAAAGGAAATTCAACTTAAACAACGGAGTAATAGGAAATGCTGAAATATATAAACATGTTATTTCAGGTACTCCAGTCAAGTTTTAAGATTAACTGATAAATGAATAAATAAATAAATAACAAATAATGACATATATATATATAATATATATATATATATATATATATATATACATATATATATATATATATATATATATATATATATATATATATATATATATATGTATGTATACATGTGTGCGTGCCTGCCTATATATGTGTGTGTATATATATATATATATATTTCCAAAATGCAGTTTATCTTTTATGATAAATTTCCTCGTATTAACGTCTTATTGCAAACTGAAGCAGGAATAATACTTTGATAACATTTTAAGTGGGTTTTTAGTTTTTTTTCGGAAAAATATTTATATTATAGTCGAGGTGTTGAAGGTGTGAATAGGCAACTATAATGAAGGATGGAGATTACTGTATCATCACCTGAAGACAATAATTGCTCTGTTCCCAAGCCCAGTAGCCTCACCTGTCTCTGGCCAACCAAACGTACCTAGTGCTATCCACCTTTCAGTTTTCTCTCCTTCTATTTGTCTCTGTGTGAGGAAGGGGAAGGTGCGAGTGTACAGATTCCTTTCGCGCTGCAGTTCCTTCGCACCGAATCAGCATTTATTTGTATTAGACTCGTTTTATAACTAGACGGAAATGACATTCCTGTATCAAAACCACATTAAAAAGTAAGATACATTCATGTGGAGGTCCATATCTAGATGAAATCAGTTTAGCTTAGATGAAGTATATATTAGTTATCTGTTAAACCGGAACAAAAATCATAAATTACAAATAAAACCCCCAAAAGAATAAAAAATCGACGTCCACCAAATATATTCATGTTTATCAGCGAAAGATAGATATATATATATATATATATATATATATATATATATATATATATATATATATATATATATATATATATATATAACACGTTTCTGATGACTTCCCAGTTTTCGGGATCTACAGGCTGTGATTTTAAGTAATAAATAATAATATTTACTCCTCTATATCCTCCTTTTAAGTATGGATACGACACTCCTGTAATTGCAGAACATCAATTCTTTTTTCCATTTATTTACAGTGCTAATCTACCTACAATAACATATTGCGGTAAAACAAAGAAAAAATTAAATGATTCGTGATAATCCACTTTAATTTACGGAATTTACAAAGAATAATTTTCATGTTTCTCTCACACACACATTGCCTCTCTCTCTCTCACAGATGCTATCTGTCTTGTTCACCTCTCTATGCCCCGCCCACCTTCTCTCTCTCCATGCTCCTCTCTCATCTCCTCTCTTCTCTTCCTCGTCTCTCTCTCTCTCTCCCTCTGCCATCTCTCTCAATCTCTC